ACAAAGTACTTTGTTCCTGAATCTTTTCTCTGTAAATATCATAAAACTACTGTTTGTCTGCAAACTAGTACTTGCTATTAACTTGGACCTGCTAATAAATTTGGTGTAACTCATAAGACTAGATTCTGTAGTAAAATGAAACTTTCATAAGAACTCTGCTTTTCTTCTTTTAGTTCTTTGAAGCAGATGAGCAGCATAAACGTTTAGAAGCGGAGCTCAGAACTAGACTTGAGGTTTTGGAAACTGATGCTGCCCAGCACCAAACTGTGGTGGACAGTTTAACAAGGAAATACACGGATACTATAGAAAAGCTGCAGAATGATAAAACCAAATTAGAAGTAAGGAGTTTTTCCTCTTACTTGCAAGTTTTAAAAGTTTTGAAATGAAATGTCTTGCTGTGTCAGTAATTACATTGTAAGATTATCTTCTTGCATAAAGATCAAGTCTCAGACACTAGAAAGAGAAGCTAAGGACTGTAGGCTTCGAACCGAAGAATGGTAAGTGTTTTTATTTAATACAATAAAAAATAGATTTGAAGAAATAACTGTGTCTAAAATATTAACTGGATTATTTTTAGAGAATACTACCATAAAAACTAATAAGGACTTTAACTCAAAATACTGGGCAACAGCACATTAACACCAAGACCGTGCAGGTCAGGTTTCCTTCTGCTGAGTGTGTAACTAGACAATCGATTCCACAGATTCAGCTTTCAGTAAGAGCAGCTTTGTTGCCAAGTTATTTTAAGTAGCAGTGAAGTTGATGAAAGCTTGAAGACTTTATTTCTAATAGAACGCTATAAAAAGTAGAGAAACTACTGAATGTGTGTGAAACAAAGATGCAGCTGCTTCTAAAAGCAAAGCTTGGGTAAAGTATGCTGAGTCAACCGACTGAAAAGTGTTTCAAAAATCTCCTTCCACCTCAAAAGCTTCTTGAACAATTGCTTTTGCTTCAGGTATAACATTCTCAGCTAGAATATTTGGCAGGAGGGGAAATACACAGAAATGACTCCTTTATCTGAAAGGAGGATGGAGTGAGAAGGTAGCTGGTCTTTTATCCCAAGAAATAGGCGATAGGACAAAAGGTAACTGCCTCAAGCTATGCCAGTACTAGATATTAGGAAAAATGTCTTCCCTGTCAGGGTAGTTGGGTGTTGGAACAGGCCGCCCAGGGCAGTGGTGGAATCACCATCCCTGGAAGTGTTCACAAATTGTGTAGACGAGTCCCTTAGTGACATGGGTTAGTGGTGGCCTTGGCAGTGCTGGGAGAGTGGTTGGACTTGATCTTAAAGGTCTTTTCCAATCTAGTTGGTTCTGTGATTTAATATTTGAAAGCTTTTCTTGAAGGATTGTATTGCATTTGAATACCTTCACTGTCTTGACAAGTTGTAGAAAATGCAAGAAGTTGAGGATGGAGCAAATTATGGTGCAGTTCCCTGAAGTTCGTTATTAAAGTACATTTTTTAAAGATATATGTGCAGTATAGATCTTTAATGGATAAAAACCCATAGTGAATGATCAGATGAACAGTTCCTTCTTTCAGATGGTAACCTTGAAGTATGTATTTTAATTATTTTGATAGATGTGAAGATACTTGAATTCCAATAAATCCCCTTTAGTACAGGTCACTAAGAATGACTTGCAAAAGAGGGTGAAAGCTGTGTTTTGCTGCTGTTTGCTTTTCTGTGGTGTTTGAAACACAGTGTAGTCTTAATTTCCGACTATTCCGTTCAGAGCTTGTCTGTCATGTTCTATGATGACTGGGTAATTAATGTCATTGTGAGAAATGGTCTGTACCATTTAAGAAGGGAGGCTTTTTAAAAATAATCAAGCCTGATACTTCTTTATTTTAAACACTGAAATCAGTATCTAACTTCACATGATGGAAGATGTCTTTGAGAGTACTGCTCTTCTGGATTTCCTGCTCCTTTAGGCTGAGGGATCCATTTGCCTCTAATGCCCATGCTTTATTCAGGAAAGCAGGGGATATGAGACTTGACAGCCTGTGTGCCTTGAAAATTAAAGGGCAGAATGTAAACCAAAACATACCAAGCTACTTGTTTGTCATTCCTTTGTAGTACAAAAGGAAACATCCTTACTTCTGCAGTTTGAGTTTTTCTATCTTGCCCAATGCTACTGTGGTTCATGCTGTACAGTATCTATTTAATTTTGGAGCTGCTGTTCAAGAAAAATGTTTGCTAATGTGCATGATCTACTTATTGGCCTGTTTCTTCGTATCTTGCTTGTTTATTTTGGATTCTTTTTCCTTGTTAGTCCTGATAAATTTCCACTTATCAAATGCTTTTGTAAAAAAGGAAAAACTGTCACTTTGACACCTTCCCCCCACCCTCCACTATATGTGCAGGAGTTCTAGATGTCAAACGGGAAGCAAAACAGTGAAGAATTTGGGGGCCTAAGTTGGGTAAGGTGTGGAATTTGATCTGGATCAATATACAGTAATGTTTGTTGACGTATGCATATAATGCTGGGATATGTTAGTTCATCTCAAGAATCTATACTAACGGTATCAGTAATCTTAGGTGTGCATCTCTATACACAATCAAATGCAAGTGAAGTAGATCTAGAGAAAAATCATTGAGAATGCATCAGAAACACATTTACCAAGTCTTGTGGTAATGGGCCATATCATAGTAGTATTTAAATACAGGGCTTTGAAAAGCTTGTGAGGTATTTCTAATAGTGATGTGACATAGTTAAATGAATTATCAACAACTTCCATATTGGAATATCAGGTTGCATATACAGTAACTAATTTAAAGGTCCTTTTGCATTCCCATTCAAATTCCAGTTGAAAAGCTGGAATTATATAGCTCATACAATAATAGCAGAATTGGATTATAATGTAAAGGTTAACGCTGAAGTAAGTTGTGCTTCTCAGGAATGGACCTTGTGATTCACAATAATTTACTGCATCTTTTACAGCATTTGTTAGGGATTAAAATACATTAAATATGACATAAAGGAAGAAAAACGATTCCTACTGTCTTATTTCTGTCTAACTTCTAGAAAGAGATGGATACCTGGGATCAAGGGATGCTTATGGTGAGCTGTGGCATTGGTGATAAAGATTAAATTTTAAAGGTTTACAATGTGCGTGTGTGTGTGTGTGGTTTTTCGTTTGTCTTTTTGTTATTTAGCCAGCAACAGTTAAAGAATCTTCAAGCAGCTTTGGGCAGTAGACTGGAAGAATCTCTATGCATAATCAATGAAAAAGTCCCTTTTAATGACACAAGTACGTATTGCTTTGGTCTGGGTTTCTTACTAATTTTGGGTGTCCATCTGGAGGGAAGTACTCCTTATGAATTAAAATGTATTAGCAGTGAGAAGTGTTGCATATTTGAACAGACACTTGGAGGTAATTGTAATAAGTAGTCATAAAACCTAATCTTGTTTAGTAATCTTAAAATAACAAGTTTTTATATTTTCTATAAAATAAATATATTTATATATATTTAATGAAAATCAAAACTTCTGAAGGCTTTTGTGTAATTTACTACTTGTGTTGATGAGTGTTGACAGAAAGGAACACTGTCAATTTACTGGTTTCTCCACAAAGATTTCTTCAGTTACTCATCTCAAAGAGTATTATTTTTGGCAAGGTATATTCAGGAATTAGAGTAAATTAAGATGGGGATAAACTAATGGCTGCAGAGATGAGGGACTTAATGAGACGTTGCACCAATAATGGTCTATACTTAGTACTAGTGGGAAGTCTGTGAACATGTCTTATCTCTGATCAGAGAGCACCTACCCTAGTTCCTATCCATGGGACTCGTTCATCTTTTTGGAATTAAAAACACCCTTTGAATTTGGGGACTTACACCTGAAGCAACATTCTTTTCTGCTTCCTTTCCAACCGCTACTGGATACATTGAAGCACAGAGGATACCATGGAGTTGGAAGGGCTCAGACCTTTGCATTGCTTTGGTACAAGAATGATTAGTATCTGCTAGATCAGTGCTGTGTCATGGGTGCTTTTGTAAATAGCTTGAACACGAGGTGATATTTGGGTAGGCAGTAGTCTGTACTCTCCTAGCAGTGAGACTAGGAAGACCTGGAATAGTGAAAAAGCTGAAAGTAATGGAGAAGAAGCAGAGAAGTGAAAACAGGCCGTTGAATTTCTAATAGGTTTTATTGGTAGCTTTTGCATTTTCCATCCAGTTTAAAACTTGCTGACAATGTTTTGAATAGCCTTAGGTTCTCTAAAAGCTGATCTGTCAGGTCTGCAGGAGTGAGGCTTCCAAGTTCTCCATGGGGTTGGCAATCGAGTGAGTCTTGGCTTAGAAACACCAAATCATCTCTTTAGGAAATGTTCACCCTCATATAGTATGTTATCCTTAGGTGTTGATGCCTTGAGTTGATACCCTTTTCACTTCTTTCCTCTCACAAAGATCACTTTGCATGGCATTTGCTGCCTATTTCTACTTCTCTGGCTTCTTTAGCTATTTTGGGATTTTTTACAGGTGGTTATCATTGTAGCAAGAACTTTGATGCAAACAATTTATCTGCTCAATAGCATAATGTTTTTGCTTGTGTAGAAAACATTGCAAATAGTTGACAGATCTTTAGTGATGGAAGAATGAGAGAAAGTCAGAAAATGTTTTTCTTCCATGGATTTCAACTTACTGTAGACTCTGTAGTTGGTTTTAAGTGTAACTAGCAGCTGACTTCAGTTTCAGTAACAATCAAATGACTTACTGAATGCTAAGCATGATCTTGAGAGTAGAAAGATGACAAGAAAAATGTTCTAAAGCATTTTAGTTAGGAGTAGGATTTGGTAAAGTTGGACAGAGTTCATTTGTTCTCCATGCAACTACTTCCAATATGTTAATTGCCAAATATGAATGATACAAAAGGTATGACATTTCCTTTGCATGCAGACTTTAAACTGAAGTGGTTATCATTCCATTTAACTAAGAGTGGGTGTGATCGCTTTTAAACCTATACAACTTCCTAAGCTGTTTTCTAGGTACAAATATCCCTCTATCCTTTAAACATTGTGGCCCCCTGTAATTGAATAAGTCTAGTTGCTCTAAGTGGAGCAGAACACCGAAACATGTGGAGAATACATCTTACTTATCAACACATCAACTGTATACAGGAGCTGTTTTTTTAAATGCACAGACCATGAAAAAAATACATTTATCTTGTCTGACAGTCCCTGGGGTGTGATTGAAATTTGAAGATCATCTTGAATTCTTGAAAAGTTTTTAGAAACTAACTTTTCACTCTTGTTAGTGACGAATACTGTTCTTTTGGGCAAGAAGATTCTGCTCTCACCTCTCAAATTCAGGGTTTTCAGATGGTTAAATAAAGCTTGCAATCGGAGACAAGTATGGAAGTGCTGTCTCTCCACCTAGTCACAGTAACAGCTCTTAATTAAGAATGTTCAGGTCTAAGTTATTGAAGCCAGTTGTTTGTATCTTTTTAGTTCATATTACTTACATAAACTGTAATATTACTGTAATGAAACTTAAAAAAAAACCAAACAAACCAGCCACTATTTACCAATAATTGTCTCTTAAAAAACCGTGATGTAATAAGTGCATATTTCTGTTCTGTAGGATCTCGCCGATACAATGCTCTGAATGTACCGTTACACAACAGAAGATACCAGGTAAGCGCTTCTTGTGGCTTCGTATGTGATGATGTAGCTTTCTATACAGATGCTGAATAAAACCAGTCATTTTAGTGTCTTGAAATGTCCAAATATAGGCTATCTTGTTACTGTCATCATATTCCAAGCGAATTTCTGTCCACAGCACCCCTGCTTTTCAGAAGGTAATCTATACTGCTTTTGTGTTGGAGTCAAGTTGTCTGTTTACCTTGCTTCACTAGAGGTAATCCATTGACTTCTGGGTGATGATCACTGTAGGTATTAACTTGGGCATGCCTTCCTAAAAAGAATGACAAAAAGATTTAATATTTGTCTCTTAGTAAAGTTACATAAAGAATTCTTTTACTGTGCCAGCCTGCATTAAGTTAGGACTCAAACATTCAATTTTTAAAGTTGGTTAAAACTATGTTAGTTTAGAGCTTTTTGTGGAAAAGAAGGGAGTTTGGGTATCTTAAATTACAGTTTACACAAACTGAGCTTCTTTAGTCACATGGCTTGAGCCCTAAGGAATGTTTGCATTTATAAACTGTACATTGGTGTGTATGCTGTAATACCATGTTAGTGAGTGTTAGTTGTCACTAGTCATAATCCTTTTAAGGAATAAATCATGTATCTTTGAGAATTCTTAATGGTTCGTTTACATTTTATAGCATATTTCTTGCCAGAGCACCTCTTACTTGCAGCCAAATCACCCTTATTAATGTAAATGTTATTTTAAACAAAGACACTTGCTGTTCATTACTGTAACTTAGATTTCCTTGGGAATCTGGTTTGGTCAGTATTAAAAAATGAGGATTAGTTTTCTGTAAATAGCTAAATATATAGAAGCTTTTTTTACAGTAGTGAATCAGATGCCTTGATGCAGTCAAAATTGTCCTGTTTTGCTACCACTGAGGATGGGCTCTGCAGACTTGTTTTTCTTTTGTCTTTGCTTGTATGATATGCCTTGAACCTTCAAGTTAGTGCATTGAGATGGCACTGTGGAAAGACTTCAGACAGCTGCTTTCTCCTTTCTTCAGAAGTGCCTACAAAGGGACCTGGTTCCTAATATGTCTGCTGTGGGAACAGGTGACCTGTGATCTAGTTTTATGATGGAAGTAGCCTTAAATCAACGTGTTGCTGAGTTCTAAGGAAAATCTGAATAACTGTATGAGGAGTTTCTCCTTTTCCTATTTTCTGCTAGCACTATTAAGCCAGCCTCATGCTTCAAGGTGTACAGTCTTGAAAATGATCCAGGACAGATTTTCATGAGTGACTTTGCGAGTAGAGGCAAAATGCTAGTGCATTAGCACAGGCTGCAGTGTGAAGGATAGCAAATCAGTAATGTTGTCTGTTTTCCTTTCTTGCATAGTTAATTAACATACACAAACTGAGTATAATGGCTGCATTAATTACCAGCATTCCTGATCCATAATCAAGATTCACTTGATTTAACACTTCATTAAAGTATTAGGAATACATCTCTGAAGGATAAGTCATTCTTGGCTGAAATGTCACTTTAACCTTATTCTCTCCTCCATAAATCACAAGGGCGTGGTTTTCTTCTTTGACTTTGCTTTTTCAGACTGTTCTACTTTGGATTAATTTCTTGGATGCTTTCCTACTGCACTATAGCCACAGAACAGCCTTATTCATGAGCAGCAGCTCACTTCTGTCCACGACAGAATAAGAACTAAGTGTTACTAGTTAGAAGCAGCCACCTTTTATTCTGAGTGAAAACCTCATTGCTTTTTACTAATTGAAAGTTAGGTTTCCTAACTACCGAGTGTTACAAATTTCTCACTATCACTGCACAGAAAGCACTGAGCTGTTGTCAGCGATTAGTCTACTGGTCTTTAGAAATCTTTATTTCAAGGATGGTTTCTGTAGTTGTACTAACCTCTAAGTGTTCTTGTGGCTTGTAGTTTGAGAAATGCAGCAGAAGGAAAACGTCACCTGTTGTATGAAATAACATACTTTGCTGTCACAGAAAAACATGCCCTTCTGTGTGGCATTGTAGTTTATTCATAAGCTTTAAAAGTTAAAGATAATTGCAACTATGTATTTTAGGCTGAACTAGTAATAGGAAAGAAATCATTGATAGATTTTTCTTTTTATTCATACTTTAATAGGTACATGTCAAGTATAATCATCTTGTAACTGTCTTTACAGCTGAAATTGCGAGACCTTGCTGGCCAGGCACTGGCTTTTGTTCAAGAACTTGTAACAGCTCTTCTGAACTTCCATACATATACTGAGCAGAGGGTCCAGATCTTTCCCATTGATTCTGCAACAGACACTGTATCACCATTAAATCAGAAGGTAAAGCTTACAGATTTCAGCTACAAGTTTATTCAATTATGTTGACTTTCATGTATGAATGATCTTAGTCATGCAACCTTCTACCGCCTCTACTGGAGTGCTGTGAGTGTTTTCCTGAGGGGCAGCTTCTCCTGCATGAGAAGTCTTTTCTGAGTGAATTCTCTGAATGCGGGCAAACGTGTAGCTGCAGAGGATCCTTTTCCCCTGTGCTGCTACTACAAGAGCAGTAAGACAGTCAAATCAAGGCTTTGCTTTTTAAGTGCTAAAATGCATTTGTCAAAAGTTCAGGTGATTTATTTAAAAATGCACAAATATTACACTGCTAAATAGATGCTTGTCTTAGTTAATGTGCTGGGGCATGGCAGATGTTGGCACAGGAGGTCTTGTGTGAAGTGAAGTAAATTGGATGTGAGGTAGGCTTATGAAGGAGAGAACTTGGACTCTGTTCCCTTGGCAAAACCAACTTCATAATCTGATTTGGGGTTATTTGTTTGAAGACCTTTCCTATAAGAGTTCTGAAGCTTCAAGTCTGAAGTGTGTTGAAATTATTAGGAGAAACCTGACCTGTCTCTTCCCATGCAACTCTGTGGGAAGGCTTCAGAGAGTATAATTCAGAGCTGTAAGCTGAATCTGTTGTCTTTCTATGCCATGGAGCATGGAAAAGAACTTTGTGCACAAAGATTTGGGTGGGGATGTATAGATCTATGCTTTGGAAAAAAATTGCTTTAACATTGGAGTTGACTTCACAGTGAAAATAGACATATGTGCATGTAAGTTGCAGGATGACTGTATTTTCTGGTTCAGATTATAATTTCAATACAGTTGTTTGTAGGGCTTAGACTTAAGATACTGAGATGGACGTGACTTGAATTTCTCAAATGGCTGCAATGCATGTACTGACAATGTTTACTGTCATTAAACTTTGCTATTATTAGGAATACCTCCAGTAATCTCATTGCAGATGAAAAATATGCTTGCAAAGGTGTTTAGAGATATTGCAGTCTATTTATCTTCTCAGTTGTTTAAACTGTTTGAATCGAGTATGCTTTCACAGAGATTCAGCATAGATCTTAGTCTGAGAGCAACATTTTCTTGCTTCTGTCACCAAACATATTCAAACTGGCAAATCTTTCTTGTGAAAACTATGCAGCCTTGTCATCTTCCAAATTCTTTGGGGCAGGATCTGTGTCTTGTTTATGTGGCCCCTTGTGGTGACTGGATTCTACAGACACTACTGCAGTTTACACTAAGGGAATAAAATCAGGTTTCTTAGACATCACTTCTTACACAATTTTTCTTTTTCTTAATGTTCTAGTTAACATTTCTTTGTTGCTTTTCAGCAAAAACTGATTTCATACAGCTGAAACATGCAGCTCAATCAGAATTGTAATTTGATTCTCCTTTTCTGATAATTGACTCTGATTCAGTAGTTCAGGCTTTGTTCATGTGCATAATTATGTATCTTGTAGTCTGCCCCATGGTGTATTCATGGCCTGATTGCCTCAGTGCATGTTACCTCTTGGTCCTTTTGCTGTGACTTCCCGGCAGTGAAATATCTTTTATTGCTCACCGAAGCTGCTGTTGCTCCTGTATTTTTGAATAATTTATCTATTTGCTTGGCAAGTGACCTCAGTGTGATCTCAGCTCTTCCACTGAGTGGTTCAAAACCCCTCCCTTAATGTGGTAGAGAAAATGAGACAAGTGTCAGGTAGTGGCTTAGCAGACTTGCACTGATTTATTTTTCCCCAACTCCAGGTCTTGTCTGGTGCTTTCAAGCTATTTTCCCCACCAAACACTCAAAGTAGATGTGGACAATTCCCTTCCAGGTTCAAGTATTCCTTTTCTCTTTAAGTATTGGATTGCTGGGTTCTGCTGGGTCTTCAGCATCGTGCCAGATAACTCCAGTCCTCTCTCTTGCAACAGAAGTCAGGAGCACTCTGCATGTGTTATTTCTTCCTCCTTAGACTTAGGAATTTTCCCTAATTCCATCCAGATTTGTGCATGCCTGAATGAGAGCTTGGCATCTCTTTCTTGTTAACATTGTGTTACTACACTGTAATAATAGAAGGAATTAAGTTTTCTTATATCCTATTTGCCTGGGATCTTTAGCTACTATTGTGGTTTAAATAATCAAAGGTGAAGGTATCTTTCTGTGGGGTAAAATGAAAACCACTTTTGACTACTTTTGCTGATCTGTGGAAGAAGCTTTTTGTAATGCTGTGGTATCAGAATTGAAAGCTGATGGTACTGTTATGTTTTGTATGTAAGAGTAAATGCTGTTGTTCTCAGGTATACTTTTTTTTAAGGGTGAAATTAGCCACAGAATTTACTTAAGCAGTTTTTAGCAAACTCAGGCAATTCTATGAGGCTGAAATTTCCTAATTGTCCAAACCTGTCACAGTTCTTGAAAGTAAAAATTTTCCCTTTGAGTAGTTACTGCTCTGTCCTTTGCACTGGCATAACCACGTTTTGACTCATGTGGAAGGCTGTGCAAATCAAATGTTTGTGCTGATGCACAGGGCGAGGGCTGAAAGACAAACAACAGCTGGGAGGAAGGTAGGATAGTTTATTCTGGTGATTTAATGGTGCATGGATTTAGCCTTAATTTCTTGGAGTTCAGCAAGGAATGCAAGAATATTTAAACTTAAAAAGCAACGGTTTGGTGTGCTCTGCATGGCAGTTAAAATGAGAGGGTGGTGTGGCAAAGCCCTAGATGGGGTTTTGCCTGGACTTCCGTTGCAGTCTTCACTATTTCTCACTGTCCCTCAAGGTTTGTGTTTGTGTGTCCTGTAGAAAATGTTGCTGTACATCACTTGACTTTTACATCTTATTATTGACATCGTGAGGATCACTTAAGATGACAGGAGCTTTGCTAAAGCGGACTGCTCACTTGTTAACTTGAAACAGTTTGCAAGAGCCTTCACCAAGCACCATTTTAAAATCTCTCTGTACTCAGTTCTCACAGTATCTTCATGAAAATGCTTCCTACGTTCGCCCTCTGGAGGAAGGAATGCTTCACTTGTTTGAGAGCATTACAGAAGATACCGTGACAGTCCTGGTAAGATTTCTTGGGTTTACTATTGAAAAAGATTTTTACCGAGCAAAAATACTTATGTGTTGTTCTTCCTTTCAGGAAACAGCTGTGAAATTGAAGGCCTTCTCAGAACACTTAGCTTCCTACTTAGGCTTTTTAAGAAAGATTCTTCCTTATCAATTGAAAAGGTACTTTTGATTTTATAGGTTAAATTAAAGGGGCACTAAGTATCAGGCATGCAGCATTGTCAACATCTACAACTCAAATATCAAGTCAACTCTTAAAGCATGTTGGCTTAAAAGGCAGAATTTTTAATTTTTCATTTCCTACTGGTTTTTGAGCCTTTAGGTTATGCATGTTTGTTCAGCTGGGCATTAAAGCTAAAAACATAGATTTTAAAGCCTATTTTCACCCCTCTCACAGGTGAGACTGTAATGAAAGCTGCACAGATCTTAATGTTTCTTAATGTTATTCTGTAGCATTGATACTATTCAGGGATGATACACTAAAACTGCTCATTTCTTCAGCCTGTCTGAAGATTATTTATCATACAGTAAATATAGCAGTGTGGTAAAATTTGGACAGATGCACATCACTTTTGCTGTGAAAATCTTTGTTCCGGAGTGGGTCAAAGGGAGGGGAATTACCAGTGCAAAGGGCTGCTTAAGAAGAGGTTTTGGATTAAGGAAGGAGAAGAAGCTTGTTTTATGCCTCCTTTGTACCTGTTGTTCTCCTCCTCCTTAGGAAGCAAAAGGTAAATTATATGTCATAGAGGAAAAAGTCTTTAAACTGCTGCAATCAGTTCCTTGTCATGAGAGTAAACCATTCCTGGTTTACGATTGAAGGCCCTGAGATGGGGGCATAGTACACAAGCAGAGTGTTGTTAAGTTACTCTGATATGTTAAATTTTATAAAATAAATTCCTAGTCTGTTGTTGCTTAGGACCAGGGACATAGACAACACTAGAAATCTACTCCAAAACTCATGAACTTGGTATTTTATTTTTTTTTTTAAAGATAATTTCTCACTTCTTAAAAAAATAAATAAATTCGTATATTCCTAGTTTGGAAGAAGAGTGTGAGACTTCTCTTTGCACAGCTGCTTTAAGAGCCAGAAATATGGAGCTGCACAGAGACATGAAAAGGTTGACTGCAGTCTTTGAGAAGCTACATACATACGTTAGTCTTCTTGTGTTACCAAGTAAGTGCCAGTTTTGGCTCAGTTGGTTACATTGAGGCTGGAAGGTACTAGCTTTTCCTTTTGGACTAGTATTGAGGTTTTCTGGGTTTTGTTTGGTTTTTTTTTGGTGTGTGTTTTTTGTTTGTTTTTTTGGGTGGGTTTTTTTTTTTTCTTTTTAACCACACACACAAAAATCCACTTCTATGATAGAGGCAAAAAAGATTAATGCTACTCTTTAGGTAGAGTCTAAACTATGAGTTCAGCAATACTTTTTGTCATCGTGGACACTCTTTTATCCAGGCTTGGAGACTGAGTGTGCTGCAGGGTTTTTCTTTAATGCTCCACACTCTTCCTTGTGGCTAGATATGAGCATGGTGCAAGCCTGGAAATTAGCAAGCAGTCACATGTACCACATTTTATATAGTCATAATTAACTGTACAGGAGAAGAAATTACTGTGGATTATAGTATGATTGACAGTGTGTCTTTTATCATCTTTTAATCATGTAGTTAGTAGTAAACTATACTTTATCACTAATTACACTTCCAGCTCCTCCTGTTCACAACGTTATTAAACTACAACTCTAATGGTAATGACTAAATAAAATTGGATAAAACCTTTGTGTGTATGTATGTGGGGAAACTATCTCCAAATGTGTACTGTAAACAGTAATGAAACAGTTACTGTGTAGCTTCAGGTTATTTCAGTCTTCACTCTAGAAGGACCCAGATGGTCCTTCCTACAGCAGTGAACGCATAAGTCTTTCTGCATGTGTAATTGTTTTTTTGAGACCAAAACAGCTGATATTTGTAAAATCTGAATGAAATGGAGGAAACTTGGAAGTCTTTTACCTGCCTACTCTGGCAAAATCTGGTATACCTACTTTTGAGATTGAGGTAAATGAATCTGGTACGATTTTCATACTCCATGGAAATGTTTCTAGTAGATGGAAACTGGATTATTTTCAAAGCTAACTCTTCATTCATGGTAAATCTTAGTGTTCTTTTTTCTTCCTATATTGTACTGTTAGGTACAAAACCAGAAGGTCTTCTTAGGACAAATTACAACTTGGTGTTTACAAACATTGCTGCAAGTCTTCATGGATTTCATGACATTTTAAAAGGTGAGAGTACAGGAGTACTGTTATGTTTCAGCTCTACTTCTTTGTTTAACATAGCACTCATGTATTCTCTCTGTAACAATGTTGAAAATATAATATGTGATAAAACTGGTTTGTTGTGCCATTAAAAACTAAGATAAGAAACCAGACCTAGTAACTACTTGCTTTGGACACGCATGCATGTTTTTCACTCCTGTTCTGCTAGCTTTGCTCTTCTAAGTTGCTAGAATGCTTAATTGTGATGCTCTAGATCTTCCTGAGCAGTATCACTTTACTTCTTGAACTTCATTGATCTAGTGGAAATAGCATACATATACATATTTTCCCCTGTCTGCATACTGTTGACATAGTACCTGCCTTCAGAGTTGAATGTTTCCTTACTGTTTATAGGTTGATTACTATTTTTGACATGAATATATAACCAAAGCTTTCAAACAAGGCTGTGATTTTTTTGAAACTTAACTTCCTCCTTAAAAATGGCTTATCTTCCTTTTATCAAGGAGTTTTACAGAAAATGAGTGTTATGTGCTAGAATTTCTGTACCAAGGAGAAAATAATCCCTATAGGTGAATTGTTTTATTACTAGTCAGCTGTTTAAACATTAAGCTTTTATAATTTTAAGCAAAATTGGGAGAATTTTTTTGTTTTTAACATCAATAGCATAGCTCCATTTTGTCCCTGTTTTAAAAGAAGATTATATTAGAGACTGTCCCTCTAACAGAACGAGACACTAAGCTTGGACTTTTGTGGCATAGGTAAGTTGATTGATAAATACCTTGTACCTTTTAACATAGTTATTATAATGCAAAATCAACCCAGCTTACACTTCAATTTTCTTTCCTTTGTAAAAGCACTGAGGAAAACTCATTAGAATTCATTAGCTAGCAACAGAAATGTTGTAGTTAACATCTCACACTCCCATGCTCTAGGATGCGTGATTTGGCCCTTCTCTCCTTCCTTCCCAAGCCAAAAAAATTTCCAGCTGCTTGAGCTTGCCTCACATTGTAATTTTTGATGGTGGTGACCTGGGATTTCTCCATTCTGTAGCAACAGTACTTTATTGTAAAATAAAGTTGAAATTAATTAGTATATTTAAGATATCATTTCTTTTTCTAGATATTTCCAAGCACTACAGTCAGAAAGCTACTTTAGAACAAGATGTTCCAACTGCCACACAGAAACTCATAACTACTAATGACTGTATTTTATCCTCTGTTGCTGCTTTAACAAATGGAGCAGGCAAGGTAATGGATATTTTTGTTTCAATATAATGTCCTAACTTGTGCAGGTTTAGGAAAAAAAAACCACCTTAGGTGAATGATTTGGAAAATCTATACATGCCTCTGATAAATTATCGGGTGTGTTCTGAGGTATTTTCAGGCTACAAGTTAAAAACGACTAAATGGGTGGTGAAAGTAGCTACTCTAAAGAGGATGCTTTACATTAGTAAGGTCTAAGTTATATGGAAGAGTCTGTAGCCTTCTTGAAATTCTTGTTGTGAAGTCCTGTTTCACTCGATACTTGTCTTTCTCCTGAAAGAGTAATTGCTCTGATGAATCGTCCCGGCCAACTTAATTCAAAAAGTGACTTTTCCTGATGTGTCTAGATTGCCTCGTTCTTCAGCAACAATTTGGATCACTTCACTGCATCACTGAGCTATGGCCCTAAAGGAGGAACAGAGTTCATCAGCCCTCTTTCAGCTGAGTGTATGCTGCAGTACAAGAAAAAGGCGGTTGCTTACATGAAGTCTTTAAAGAAGGTTTGTTCAGCTGGCATGCTTGCACAGAGAGGAAACAATTCAGTTGATAATTGGTTTTGCTAAAGAGAATACAAACTAAGGATTTTCAGTATTTGGAATGGACGAGATTCTTTGAATCTTTGGCTGAGCCATAATGCTATTGAAAGATTTAGAGAACATAGTTCTCTGAGGGTATGTGCCAATTCTGCCATTACCCATTTCCAGTAATCATTTCTGTGCCAAGACTCCAAGGAGAAGAGAGTAACTGCTTAGTTAAATTTCCTCCCATATTCACCAGGAATATAGAGTGAATGACATCATATTCTCATACTTGCATTCATTGGAAGGCAGTGGAGAGCAGCAGGGTTAAAAAAAGGCAACTGAAAAGGAGGCATGCTGGAGAAAATGTGCTGACCCAAAGGGCTGGACAGTCCCATGTCTCCCTGTTGTCTCCATCCAAATTAACAATTAAGTGATGGTGTGCTTAACAGTTGTTGTTAAATCACTTTGCATTATCTGTAAAATAGACCTTATGATGCATTTGATCATTAATGAACACCTGAAGTTTTTTGATCTCTTTAATCAGGTGTGCTGATAGTTTTGGGGTAGTATTTTTTTTGTGAACTCAAACTATGTTTTTTCTACTGGCTCGTAAACACTTGGAAGATGTTCTTCCCTTTATTAAAGTAAGGAGGGCAATAAGAAAATAAATGTAGAATACATATTCTGGTCTACTGAGAAACATGGTTTGAGGTTTCTTTTATCCTTCTGCAGCCTTGTGCAGCTTCAGTGCCTTATGAAGAGGCTTTAGCCAATCGCAGAGTTCTCCTGAGTTCCACAGAAAGTAGAGAAGGCCTTGCACAACAGGTATTCTGGTATAAATTTTACTAACATGTATGATAGTGTATTTTATAAAGGTAAAGTAGTATCAAATAGTCTCCAAATATTTATGCATCTGGCTGGTTGTACATATACATATGCATATACTTAAGCTTAAAGTGAGGCTGTAGATGTCCTGTAGAATTTTGAAAGTAAAATTTATCCTTGTCAAGCTGGGTTATCTAGGATTTGTTCTGTACCTGCAGAATGTACATGTACTTATAAAAGACAGAATTATGCCATTAATGTCTTCATTTATAAATACAAGAAGTCGGGCAATCTTTAGAAATGCAAATAAATTCTAAATAAAGAATAAGGCATACTGAAGTATTCATTTCTAGTGTTACATACTGTTTTGAGTAGTTTTTGTGGGCTATGCAGGTTTTATTAGCACTGGTAAAGAACAAAGATTTTCCTTTTCAGTCTATTAATAGATTATAGTTTACCACTCTTGCAATGTGCATGTATGTTTTTTTTCATCATCTCATATGAGTGAGACTACCTGATCAGTGCTAAAACTTCTTTATTAGCTTGAATGCTCAGACTGTGCTTGAGTCACCATCATTGAACTTCTGTGAAGAAAAAAACTTTATTGGTGTGGGCTTTTTTTGTAGTAGCCAGTATTCAAAGTGTATTAATAGGGGTGAGATGAATTTCAACAGAAATGTGTGGAGTGATGTGATGTGTATTGTTCCATAGCTGATTTTTTTTTATCTGGCCAAGTGGGTTCTTCTTATCAGGTCAAGTGTAAGGTGGGGCAGCCGGGAGGGGAGATGTTGTTTCCCTTTCTAGCACAGAACAAGACAATGCTGGTGCCAGGCACACATCTTTCAAGTTTCCATCAAATTCTTCCCTGCTTTGATTTTTCACCTAATTATGGTGCCAGTTTTACGAGCTGTAACTTTGCGATGCATGTTTCGGACTAGTTAAATAACATGGTCATTTATGAGCAATGACCACAGTTAAGTGTGCAGCTCAAATCAGTAGTTACCTGCTGCATTATTCATTAACTCACTTATGTAATGGTTTAAAATAATACAGTCTCTAACATTTCCTGTGTGGTTTTCTTCCTCCCAGTGTTCAATAACCTGGCCTGTAAACTTTCCCTCCTAAAGGTCCAGCAGAGTTTGGAGAAAATTGCAAGACTTGAACAAGAAAAAGAACACTGGATGTTAGAGGCCCAGCTAGCTAAAATAAAGCTAGAGAAAGAAAACCAAAAACTGAAGAACTCTCTTAGCGGTCATTTAACTGAAACTATACAAGAGCATTCTGTTTTGCCAAATGTAGCTGAACAAAAGAAGGAAACCACAGAAAAGAGTCTGAGGGAACCCATTAGGAGTACTAGTCTGGTAAGTGCCCCTTTTCCTTCAATAGAGAAAAATCCTCTTTCTTTAATAGTAGTACTGTTTGATCAGTGAAACACTAATAATGAAAGCTTTTTTGACTGTTGAAATGCATTCACACTTGGGCTCCCTGTCTTTGCAAAGCTGCTTGCTAATGCTTTCTGCAGAGTTTGGAACTTCTTGGATTTTTGAGACTTTGTTCACTGTCTTTAGTATCATGGAGATATTTTTGTAGTTTGGTACTTGTGTGACAGAGGGGGAAATAATAGGTGCTTAACTTCTAGGTTTTTCTTATTCTTTAATTAGGAAGCCTTGCAAGTAGCATGTATCTTGGGTCTGTTCTGAGTTTCCAATCTTATAAATGTCCAGGTATGTTTTAAGCAAACAGAAGCAGGTAATTAGTATTTTTAAATGGTTAAGACTTGTTACAGGTCAGCTCACTACAGCTTAATTTCAACTTGAGGCTATTCAAGCTTTCGGTGTTCTCTGGAGTGTTATTTTTACGTAACCTTCATAGCTGCATACAACTTGAGTTCAAGAACTGCTTTTGAATATGGCATGCATTCTGTCCTTGCCCTTTTATGTTGGTAAATGGCTTTTTTCCTGTTTATTACTAGAATTTAAAAGGGGTTGGCCTTTCCTCTGAATTACCACTTCTGAAGTGGTACTAACAGGGATGTCATCTATAAGAAATAACCAATCTACTCGGCACTCAACAGAATTCTTTCTCCACTCCTTCCCCACCACTTTCCTGCTCCAGGATAAAAATGACCAGCAGAGTGTTTTGAAATCCTTGATCTTGAAGTAAACTGGCATCTTAAGTTTTTGATCCTCTATTTGATCTGTTAGGAATTTGAAGAGAATGGCTTTTTCTAGATACAATGCTTAATGCAACTCATAGGTCAACACATTGTGTGAGTATTTTGCATATCTAGTCCTCCTGAGATCAGAAAACCCCCTCTGATTTCTCTATGAAGATACTCTTCTATGAAACCAGTTATTGGCGTACCCCCACCTGCTAGAGTTCTGTCAGTGCTTCACAGTGAGCTGGCCGTGTAATTTGCTAGTGGAAAGAAAAGAATTCAGAAGGTACTAAAGAAATCCAACTTTGCTTTCCTTTCTCTTAAATATGCAGAGTAATGTTTCAATATACTACCATGCCTTTGAATTAGTTTAATGTAAGCAAGCAATTGCATAATCATACAAAGCTAGCAGCATCCTGTTGTTTTTATTGGTTTTTCCCCTGTGTGCATTGTATAGAAAAGGATATATTTTGGAGACTTGGTGTCAGCTTTAATTCTGTTCAAGGCATTCATGTATATTATCACCCATGTTTGTTACAGGTGGAAGTACTTAAATCCGGTTTTGGTTTTAATTGTGAGGGGTTTTTTAATTTAAAGTCCTTCTATGGCTGAAGCTGAAATGACTTGGAGTTATGGTATCTATTTTTTGCAGTTCTGACTTAAGTATATTTCTTCCTTGTTCTAGATTGGAATGTTGACTATAACTACTGATAATGAAAAGGTAATCTGTTTTAAACATTACCAGTGTACATCTGGTAAATACTTCAATTCTGATTCTGTTAAACTTATTTCAAAGGTCTAATTACCAAGAATGTTGATATGTAATGGCATGAATCACCCATGTAGTCTGTGTACTATATGTTCAGGTTTCTGAAATCCATATATTAATTTTCTTCTTCTGTTTAGTGAACTGTTACCTCGTATTCATGTAAGCAGTTTTAAGCAGTGTGAGCTATGATCCAGGTCTTATCTGTAACTTGAGGAAAGCATTGCTCTGTTTGTACTTCAGTAACCCTAACTGCATTCCAAACCTCAATTCCTAACCCTTAGGGAAGAGCTTAAGCTGCAAATAAGTCACTGGCTGTAGTGCCTGGTGTTTAACACTTAAGTACAGGCTATCTCAGACTAGAGGTCACACTGAAAGAAACTTGGAACCAGCTGTCAGACTAAATGTTAACTCTTTATCACTGTGACAGTGTAATGCTTGCCCCGTTAGGAACTTTGCAGAATAAGATTCAGTGCTTTCTGCTAATAATTCAGGGTACTGATGTGTATTTTAGTTTATTCCTCCTTTTTTTCTGAAGGTGTGATTAAAAGGTGGGGGGGGACAGATAATAATTGTCTCAAGTGCTTAAAAGCTACTGTGTCAGTTATTATCTGAACTTGAAGGTAATGACAAGTTACGTGAAAGCTGCTTTTAGTGGGCTACTTTGTAACTTACAGTGAACTGGTAAGTCTTGCTGGTTTTGGTTTTTTAAAAGTTAAAATGTCTAGAGAAACTTCTGGAACATGCAACATGAGAAATAGTTCTGACTATTTTAAGCTTCTGAAATTCAGTTCTGTGAAGGAATTCTTCTGTGGGAAGAACCACTTCTGTGGGAAACTTTTATGTGGGTGAAAGCAGTTCACTTCTGCATTGGATTTTCATCTTTGTCAGAGACTTCATATGTTAAATCAGGCTAACTTCTTACCTTTTTGTCAGCTCTTTGTCAGCTCTTAATGTCGAGTCACCATCAGAGTGACAAGTTGCAGAGTGACCTGCTATAACTTCTCTTGTGTTTGGAGAATGTAATGTTTTTGGGTAGAGCAGCCAGGCCTCAGGAGGGAAGAAAAGTTAGTATGGAGGGCAGTGTTGCGATGTAAGTGTTCATGCTGAGAACCATAAATATCTGTCTGCTTAAATTTTGGTTTGGCAGACTCCAGATGTTGAGTCTCGTGAAGATCTGATAAAAAACCACTATATGGCAAGGATAGCAGAACTTACATCTCATCTGCAGCTTGCTGACAGCAAATCGGTACACTTTCATGCTGAGGTGAGCATATGCCTATACTGAAAACAGTAAATCCCTTTTGAACTTTCCACAGGCAAGTGTTATGATAATGAGTTTAAATATATGGAACATAATCTTCCATAAAAATCTATTCCTGGCATATGTTTTTTGACTCTTGTGTAGCATGCATAAAAATGGATACTGTAGAAAGACACATTTAAATAAATCCTTTGGTAGCCTTGTCTTGGGTGTATGAAGAAGTATAATATGTGTCACGTATAGGTTTGTTTATAGAAGCTGAAGCAGCTGGCTTTAGTTACCAAGCTAGTTTTGACTTAAAGTGATGCTGACGTCATTCAGAAATTTGAGTGTATCATGAAGTGATGAAAGCAGTTCTCCTCTGAGAAGCTGGTTCTTAGACATAAGTTCTAGTTAACTTCAAGAATTAACAGCATGATTTGTCATATGTATGGTTTCCTGTTTTCATTTCAAACCATGAAGTAATTTTTCTTTAAAGTAGTGGCCATTTCAATTTGTGTAATTAACTGATGTGGAATATACCAAAGCCTCCAGGTTGACAGAGCAAATTACACTGTTTTTTTTTTTTTAAAGGTAGATGACATAGTGTGGAGGAACCATCTTTCTCTGATACTCTTGCAATGTATGGAGTTGCTTGTGTTGCTTTTTACTTAGGACATATTTCCTAGTAATTATGTGATAAATAACATATATTTAGAGGATTGGCAAGATGGTGATCCTGTAAAATGAAACAAAAGTGTAATGTTCACTATTACATTACCTTTGCATTTAAAAATGTGCATAAGCTCTGACTAAATTTCTTGAAATCTGAGGATTACAAAAACATCCAAGGCAATCAGTTAAAGATGGCATAAAGCAATACTCTGGAACTAACTTTCCTCCATTCTTCCCTTCCTATCCTGTTCTGATTGACAGTGTCGTGCACTTGCCAAAAGACTGTCTTTGGCAGAGAAATCCAAGGAATCTCTCACGGAAGAGTTGAAGCTAGCTAGTCAAAACATCAGTAGATTACAGGTAAGTAAAACGTATAATGTAACAGAGGCATTTTATAAGTGCGTGTAAGGGGAAGTTGGAGGAGAAAAATTGGAACCATCAGGCATGGTCATGCCTTTATTAGGTCCTTAAATGATGTAAAAACTTTAATGGTGTGTAGAGAAGAAACTTTAATATACTTCAAATCCTAGGTATAATGTTGAAGTGGAACATGCTTGCATGGAAAAGTTATAGTAGCCAAGCCTGTGTTTTAGCACACTTCATGTCAAGGCTTTTTATGAAAATGGCTTTTTTAATGTCAAAAGATGTGGTTGTATGGCTGATTTTGGATGATACAATGAACTCTTATCTCTTTCTAGCATCTGGGACTGAAAGTCTTAAAAATAGCAGAGTGTTTTTTTGGCATGGATAGCTTAATATTAAGCAAATGTAACTTCAGGGTAATCTTTGAGAAGCCAGTGTTAACAATAGATAATAAACTCTTAAGCCAGACATCCTGTAAATGTCCTGTCCCTTTGTCCTGCCCCTCCACACAGGTGAGAAAGGAGCCAGTAGTAAAGTATATATGTAAATATTCAGTTCATAAATGCCTTTGTGTTTTCTTTATGTTCAGTTCATATCTTTATTGCTCATCTGAGATGGTGAGTACCTAAAGGGCTCCATACAGGCAGTGAATATAATGATCTAAAAAATTGTTAATAAACACAATGTGTTGGTTTTTTTTCTTTCTTTAACAAATTCCACAGTCAATAACCAGCTCTGCAGCATGAGATGTTTATCTCCAATTACATATTATCATCCTAAGATTGCAGGTGCACCGTTTGTATGTTTAGTAGTCTGCATAATACTGCATCACAGAATTGTGTAAGTTGGAAGGAACCTCTGAAGCTAATCTGAGCCCCTCCTATGGTGAGAGCAGAGAGAGTTCAGATCAAGCAATCCTGACCTTCTGCCGTGTTTGCTCCACATCCTAAGCATTGTGCTGTTCTTTGCTTTGTTCTTGATAATTCAGCTTCCCGGCCCCCTTTAACTCCCAGGGCAGTTTTACCTGGGATATTGCCAAGCAGACCTTGAAAAAGCCAAAATCTGCATTTCTTAAATCTAGGGTTGCTGTAATTCTACTATTCATCTTGCTTGCTTCCCTCAGGATCTTAAATTCCAGTAACTCATGGCTGCTGAAGCCAAGGCTACCATTGGCTTTCACATCCCTGACCAGCTTTTCCTTATTTGTGAGTAGCAGGTCCCCAGAGAGCATCTCCTAGGCTGATTGATCACTGCCATCAGGAAATTCTCAAGAGAACTCCTAAATTGCTTGTATTACACCTTGTTGCCCTTCCAGGAGATGTCAGAATAGTTAAAATTCCCCATGAGGATCATGATCTTGGGGTCGAGAGATTTTTATCTGCTTGTTGCAGATACCTGCCATATCAACCTTGTTTTCTCCTCTGATCCCTATCTATAAGATCTTAATTGTCTAAGACACTCCTTCATGTAAAGCATGACTTCTCCCCTTTTATCCTGTCCTTCCTAAAGCGTCTGTATCTCTTCATTGCTGAGTTCTAGTCACTCGTCTAGTGACTCCTAGATGCGCACTATCCCACCGTGTGTCTCTAATCCCAGAGAGTCATGGCTTCTCAACTGCATCTGGCTTGTTGATTCCTTTAGCTTTGTATGCCATGTATGTTCATGTACAGGCTGTGCTCTAACCCTGGAAACTCTACTTGTTTGTTGGCTGGAAGCAGTGTTGGAAAACTTAGCTATCAGTCTTTTATGTAAGCCATAACAAGTACGGAGGGGTGTGGAAATTACAAAGGAAGGAGAGCAAAAATAAAGGGCACAGACCATGCATGAGACTTCAGATAAAAGAAAAATAGCTATTGATTTTCTTTAATAAAGTATTTTTTTTTCCCCAGTGGTTGAGTTTAATTGCACACATTCAGCATAAAAGTGGAGATAGAAGTTAACTGCTTTGCCAGTTGTCACTAATATTGAGCAAAGGCTTCTGGTTATTTTTTTCCCCTTAGGATGAATTGATGACGACAAAGAGAAGCTATGAGGATCAGTTAAGTATGATGAGTGACCATCTCTGCAGTATGAATGAAACCTTAACTAAACAAAGGGAAGAGATTGATACACTAAAGATGACTAGTAAGGTAAGTTGCCAGGTGGCAATTTGGCTGCAGTTTGGAG